AAAAAAAAAATTAAAAAAATTAAAAAATAAAAATAAATAAATAAATAAATAAAACAAAATAAAATTCAGGGCCATCCCTGGTGGCTACAGAGTTAAAGCACCATACTGCAAGGCTAGCTGAAGCTGCTTCAGCATCAGATCAATTACTGGTCAGGAAAGTGACCCACAAGGTGTGGCAGGCTTCTCCTGACCCCCCTCCACAGTGTACTTCGTCAGTCTGCCTGTTCTGCTCCCCACTTCGCCTCTGGTGAATCCTCTCACTGTCCCTGTACCTCTGGCCTGTACCCCAGTTCTGTATGCATAAATAAATAAATAGATTTTTTTTTAATTTTAAATAAAAAAAAATAAATTTCATGGGTGCTAATCCCAAGGTGATTTTATCCAGGTGGCTGATTCTGCTCATTGAGGGCTTCAACTTCACATATGCATGGCATAAACTAAAGCCACTTCAGCATGAGTTCTATCCCCTTCCCACATGGCCAGACAGACCTCTCCTGACCCACCTGCTGCTCTCCTCACCGCCCGCCCCCTCCCCACCTCTGGCCTGTACCCCTGCTCTGTATGCATAAATAAATTAATCTTTAAAAGTAATAATAAAGAGCAATGAAAGGACATGTTGAAATTGTAGTTATATGTTTAAAACAAAATAGGACATTTTGACCTTTTTAAAAAGCAGCGACCTGGAATTTAAAAAGCAGCAACCTGGTAAATAAATGCAGTACAGCAAAAAAAAAAAAAAAAAGCATAGAGAGTGATGTCTAATCGTTTAACTTATTGGTTGATGGCAATTAAGTAAATCTATTAAGAAGGCATTGTTCTAGTACATTTTCTTCACATAACTCAATAGCTAGTATAAACATAAAAGTGAACAGAAATTATCTAATCATGCATATTTTGCAATCAATATGCTAAGAACCCAGAAGTGTTTGCTGCTGTTATGTAGTTGCTATTTGTGATTTTTTCTTTTAAACAACTTCATATTTGATATCATCGTATTTCATTAACAATTCAGTATTTTAAATCATTACATTTTTGAGGCAGAGGAAACCTGAGAACTTCAGTTCAATCCCCTTCACTTTTGATATACAGAAACAAGCCTGGAATGATTAAATAAAAATACTTCTATTTAAAACTAACAGCAATTTAATCAAACAAAATGATGATAATTATGTAATGAAGGTCAATGTTACATTAAATTTCATAAAACTAGAAAGTAAAAATTAGTATCAGGAGAATGGAGAACTTAAAAGTATCAGTGAGACATGGAGTCTTTTGTTATTAGGCTATGAAAATCACCATCACCTCCTACTTACAAAGGTAAAAATTAAATTATTTTCCAAAACACTAAGGTCCAACAGATTACTTATATCTCTGTAAGAGAGCACTGTATTCTTTAGAGTTCACCAAAGCAATAACTTTGTTTTCTCTTACAGAAGTAATCTGGAAAACATAGCTTTACTCTTACAGAATAATTTGACTAGAAACTGTCAAAGTTTTGATTGGTAAGAATGGATAAATTTAACAGAATATGAGTGCCAAAGAATAAATGTACAATAACTTAATTTAAAGAGTCACTTATTTTTAAAAGTAATGTGAAGAAATGCTGGAGAATGTCAAAAGTGCAATTAGACAACCAGCAATGAAATTTGACACTATTGGTATGACAAATCCTGTTTCAGACCTTGTTGGCTTAGATTTACTTGCACAACCAGGATTTGCCAAAACAGGAAACAGGTGTAATGCATATATACCTCTCTTACTTCTCTCTCTCCACCTTCCTTCTTCCTACAGATAAAGCAGATATTCTACTCGTAGAACCAACGGTAAGTGATAACTCCTTTTTTAAAGGTAAACTACTTTATTATGCCAGTATATTTTTGGTAAAATGACATATAGTGAATGAATATATATGCTTTTTGAATATCTGTTGATAGCTTTTATTGAGATTAATGCTTTCTAGTTATTATACTATTTTTAAACCAAGAAAATAACATATAGCTGTTATTCCCAAAACACTTTTAATCCAGTTTAATATTTAAATGATCTAAGTTTCACTGTAAAATAAGTAAAAAAACTTACTCCCATGTCTGTTACTTATAAGTAATATTGCTAGAATTTCATTTATATTAAAAGTTAAAAGAAATGTCTTATGTCTAGATATACTAATTTAATAACTTTATTAATATAACATATTTGGACATAATGATAAAGACAATTTTCAAATATAGGTAGCCCTTGCTATTTGCTTTAAATTCATTATAACAAAATTATCACACTTAACCTTGAGATAAAAAGCACTCCATTAAAGATTATCAACATAAGATACGTAAGTAACCCCATGCACTGAAATCATCAAAAGACCTTTAGAAGTTTTCCAATCAGAAATTATCCTCCTCATTTATACACATTATATATATATATATATATATATATATATATATAATTTGCATATATTTTATATAAGGAAAAGAATTCTACATAGAACTCTGTATTTCTTGACAGATATGAAGTGATCCTGGGTTGACATATTAAGACAACAGACCTATCCATGACAGCATGAAAGGAATTACTTACTTCTTAAAGAGAAGATCTTATTTTATTGGTTTCTTCCTCTACAGCTAAATGTCATCCAGGAAATTTGAGAGGATTTATACTATTGTCAGAAATGATCTAATGTTACACCTCTTCAGCTAGCTAACCCCCAAAACTAGAATGTTTACCTGTATGATTAATGCTCTGGAACAATCTAAGTTAATTATATTGATGACAAATTTCAAGTTCAGGAAGTACTCTGTGATGATACTTTGTAAGGTCAATTGAGGCCACTGAGATCAGTTCAAATACATTGCAAGAAGGAGTGTCAGAACTATCAAGTAATTTTTAAATCAGACACTACTAAAAGTTCTAGTGATAAAGCTGGTAAGTTTAAATAAAGGGAAGCAATTCACACTTGGAAAGGAAAAAAATTACTTTTAGTGAAGTGGGAGGGTTGCTATTATTATTTAGATGTCAATATATTTCCTATACAGTGAAGTCTAGAAGGTTTCTAAACTTATGTAACATCATAGGCTTTAGTGCTGTGGGCTGCTTTCTGTCTAACAGATAAGAGGTATGATGAATAATCAGATTAAGGGCCAACATTGTATTTAAAATTTGAAAATATTGCATCAGAAACTTTCTTTGCTGTGATTATGATCTACATGTGTCTACACCAGTAATGCACACACTACACAGGTGTGTGTTGATGCTTTCAATGCTATCTTTTCTGATCTGTAATATCATTTTAAGCAATTCTAACACCTCTTTACAGGAGAAAAACTTTGAAGCCACACTATCTGGACTTCTCCTCCAGTTTCCATTTGCATATTTATAGTACTTCATTATTAAATCTCTGATCCTGATACTGACCATCTGTAAACTGGGGTATTGGCTAACACCATTTATTGTCCAGACTCTTATGCATTTTCAATGATCTCATAAAGAGTGACACAATGTTTCATACAAAACATAGAAGTACCATATATTAGTATTATTATTTGTGGTTCACTTAAGGTAAAGAGATAAAGTCCATAAAAGTTACATTTATCTATTTACAAATTTAATCCCCTTACATTTACCCTTATAAGTAAAACTTTTAAGAAGTCTGGCTTTTATTTTTTTCTCCCCATATAGTGAGCTAATTTTTCTAACACCATTTTTGGATAAACTTCATCTGGTACCTTTTAATGCAGCCTTGTTTGAACAATTTTATCTTTTCTACTCGTCTCTATTAGTGTACTTGTCTGTTCTTACAATAATATCAAATTTTTGTCCATGTTATTTTGAAGTCTTAAAATAATTAACATTATAAGATACCAGTCAGATTTCTTATTGTTTTATAAAGAAGATTCATATTAGTTTAATTAAGATTAATATCTTTATTGTATTGATGCATGACACTCAAGAGCACAAAAATCTCTCAATGTATACAAATGTTCTTTTATGGTCTTTATTAGCGTTTCAAATGTCTTCTCTGAAAAAAACTTTTTATTCTTGATTATTTCAGAGTACTATATGGGTTTTGTACTAATATGAGCAGCAGCTCTTTGTTTGATCTTATTTTCTAGTTGAGTGTTGCTGATACATGACAATGGTGTTTTATGTAGGTTGATATTGCACCCAGCAAATTTACTGATCATTGTGTATTCTCTAAAGAGATGAGCATATCACTTAAAGTAATAAAAATGTTACTTCTTCCCTTACAAAATATAAAATATATTTTTCCTTTTCTTCAAGACATCTCTGATACTGAACAATAGATATGCCATTAATTATTCTTTTATTATTCCCAATATTAAATAGTATGCACATTCAGTTCTTAAATAGCTAGAACATGTCCTATAGAAATTTAGTATATTGCTATTACTAGATTAATTATCTAACTTGCTTTTTTTTTTAAATAGCTGTAACTAGGGATTGAATTAAAGAACATTTTCTGTAATATAATTTTTTTATTGTATGTTTTGTTTTAAGAATGAAAGACACTTTTAAGAAAAGTAGGGGTGGGTGGAGATCTAATTGGTACGAGATGAGAGCTACAGAGATCAGGTCAGCATCCAGGGCTGGGTCACCAAGTTCTGTTCTCGCTCTTGCTTCCTGCTGCCCCTGGGCCCATGCAACCTCACTCCCAGCCTTGTGCCACAACTTAAGCCACTGGCACACAAGACAGTAACATCTGGGGTCCGTTGAGTAGAGAGCCGGACACATTTGGAAGATGGAAGGAATCGTGTGATAGCAATTTTTCCAGAGAAATCAGGGGTACTCAGAGAGGTAGGCCCACACCAGTAGGCCCAATGGGATGGATCCCAAAAGCCTGAGCCTTGAATTGCAGGAATGGTAAGTTTTCATACAGTCTGCATGTGGAAGCTTGTCATCCCATCTATCACAGTTTCTTTATGTTTTGGGAGTGGGTCACATTAGCCATAGCTACTACTGAGGGCCAGCAGTATACTGCAAGAACTTTCTGCTCCAGCAAGCAGCAGAATCCAAACAGCAGACTTAGCAACTTCCAGCTTCCTGCCCCCAACCCCCTTTTGACACACTTACAAAGTGGTAGAGAGTCTCAATAGAAGGACTCATAGGAGGTATTATTAGGAAAGGAGTTTAAGGGCTCATATTGGCCAACCAACATTTGAAGTTTAATAGCCTCAAAATTGGTCTGTATAAACTGATGCTCAAATTAAGAAAACAAGGCCCAAGGGCAAGCAGCAAAAGAATGAGACCAGTGGACTCAGGAGGAGGGTAAGGAAACTCCTGGTTCTGGAGAACAGCAGCTATAAAGCGTCCATTTGATCCTGGAAGTCATTTAAAGACAAGGCCACATTACTTAAGTCTCAGTCAATTTGTTGGGAGAGGACCGTGAACTTCCTTTGTGCTACCCCGAGACTGCTGCCTCCATGCCTACCCATGAAGAAATATCATGGGCCACAAGCAGTGGGATGGCTAAAGGGAAGCATTTTGAACAATGGCCAGGGCCAGTGTATGAGAGTTGGGTAGCTTCCTAACCTGACAGAAGTTTGAAATCAGGTATGAGTAAGGTGAGAGCACAAAGACTCACATCGATGGAATTAGACATCTATAGATACAAGTAGAACAAACAAAAAAGGTTCCATTGGGAGCACATAGAGAAGAACCAGAGACCTTGGAAATGTATATGCAAGATACAGAGACTTTAGGATGCTGGTGGGGGCCCAAACATAGGAGGCCAGCCCCCAGATTTTAGGGGCAGGGCAGGCAATAAACTAATATAATGAGAACAGGCAAACCAAAAAGGAAATAGGAAAACAACAGACACTGGGAGTTAGTCCAACAGTTTATGAACATCTAACTGATGTTCCTCAAACTTCCACTACGCATTGACCAAACAGCTTCTGGGTTGTGATTGGAGCAGGGCTGTAGAAGGGTCAAGGTGTCTGGTCAGTCTCTCTCTTCCAGGTCAGCCTGAGTTAGTTTGTAGGGTCAGGTAAGGCCATCCATTTCTTTGGTGTCTTTGGGCAGGTAGAATTAACTTGAGAATGGTTAATCCATGGAGTAACACCCTGGGTAGGTACAGATCAGAAAGAGTAAATATTTTTAGCCTTTTCAAGGCTTGATTTTTGTAAAGTCCACCTGCAGGTCTTTAAAAGGGAAGGCACCTGTAAAGCTGTATCCATAGTGGGGCCCCAGGCCACTGAGCAGTGTTATGTTGTACACCAGTCTGGCACCACATTTCTTCTCCACATTCAGCATTCACTGCCTCCCTACTTCCTCTTTCCCAGCAGCCACCAGCCTGATTGGTATGCCAGGAGTTGCAATGCTATGCAACTGAGATGTCCCTGGAATGCAGATGGGGAGGAGTAGAGATGATGCTTCTTCCTGAGATCTTAGTGAATGCTCCTCCCCAGGTACCACAGTACAGGGATTCCACTTCCTCTTAAGTGACTTCAGAAGTGCATTAAAGTCCATTTTAGTGAAACAGACAGTTAAACAAAGGGATGAGTAATGCTGGGTTAGAAAACACAGGTTAAGACTCAGTCAATTCATTTTTCCTTTGCCTTAAAACCAACACACTGAAAAATTTGCTTATTTCTGTAGCTTCTAATTAGCTTTGAAATTACTCTGTGGCTTATGTCTTCTCCCTTAAGAGATTCCTTTGGCATTGGTTGTTTATTTAAAAAAAAAAATAGGAGGTGGGAAGCAGATATTATTTGAATTTTCCCTCCACCGGTCACATAGGAATACTCTCAGTGTGCTTGGCTAATGTCTACCTCATAAAGCACCTCTCTTCTAACATCAACAAATTATT